TGTTCAAATAAATAAATAAATAAATAAAAAGGTTAGTCTTTCATGACTCTCCATGAGAGGTGTAGACTGGATCAACTTGGTTAACAGAGCACAGCTGGTTGGCTGTCTACCCTTGGGGTAGACATGAAGTTAATGAGCTTCATGGCTGCTTACAGAGAGGCTCATCTGCAGCAGGGTGTTGCTGACCTCTGGCCTGATTAGATCTGTGTCTCAAGTTCATACTATCTGGGAGCAATAGGTAACACTGATTGGAATAGGTCTAGTTTTAAAAACTGGTGAACAGCTCTGAATGATGAACTAAAACTAACGAGATATAAATTTTACAATCTACTGTTTGTGGCTCAAAGTTAAATTGCAAAAATGGTGAGCCTCTAGCAGTAGATCTTAAAACAAGTTCATTTTAGAAAAAGCTGGGATGATTTTGTTACTAGTTCCAGTGTTGTTTAGCACTGAGATGCAGTTGAAACATATGCTAACTATCTTAGGTGTGTTAATATGAGTACTTTATCCAGCTCAAAAGTAAAAAGGCCCATGATACTTAATGATTTCAGTTGGGATGCCCGTTTTAAAGAGATGAAAACTAAAAGTGGTCAGTATTTGGGGCTGATGAATGCTCATGAAACTTAAAAGACTGAAGCGTAAACAGCAGTACCAGTTATTAATTATAATGTATTTAGACTGTCATGAGATTGGCTTTCCAATCTCTATTCATTATTCATTCATCTATTCATTCATCAATAAATATATTATAGCAAATCTAACCATATCCACACACTGTTCTAGGCATTGATTACAAAACAGACAAAAATTCTGCTCTCAAGGAGTTTATATTTAGATAAGGAGACAGATAATACAATGAGTAGATGTATGATAGTATGTTAGAATGTCTTATGTGTACAAAGGGTATGGTTCTGAAGTGAGGAATGTCTTAGTTATTTGGGCTGCTCTAACAAAATGCCATAAACTAGGTGGCCTCTAAGCAACAGAAATTTATTTGTCATAGCTCTAGAGCTGGAAGTCCAAGGTCAAGAAGCCGGCAGATTCACTGTCTGCGGAGGGGCCTACTTCCTGGTTCAGTGAGGGTACTTCTAGTGTTTCCTCCACATGGTGATAAGGGGCAGGACAGCTTTCTGGCTCTTTTGTAAAGAGACGAATTCAGACCCTGAGGGCTCTCCCCTTTTACCTAATCACTTCCCTATGGTCCACCTCCCTATTAGCACCATTTCTGATTAGTTTTCAACTGTGATTTTGGTAACAAACATTCAGACCATAGCAGTGAGAGAGAAACGTGTAGATCTCTGGAGAAGAGCATCTAAGTAGAGGAACAGCAGGTTCAAAGGCCAAGACAGGAGCAGACTGGAGTGTCTGTGGAACAGCAAAGAGGTCAGATATAGATGAATGAAGTGAGGAAGAAAAGGAGAGAACAGCAAGGAAATGGGGCTAGCGAAATCATGGAAAGACCAGATTATACAGGTTTACGACTTTGGATTTATTCTTTATAAGATGAGAAGACATTGGAGGGTTTTGAGCAGAAGAAAACCTGATTCTATTATATCATTTTAATAAGATCACTTAGGTTCAGGTTGGGATTGAACTATGCTGGGGGTATGGGGGTGGGGGAATGCAAACAGGGAGAGTACTGGGAGTTTACAGCAGTAATCCGTGGTGCTGTGAGCAGGAGGTATTGCTCTAACAAAATGCCATAAACTAGGTGGCTCATAAGCAACAGAAATTTATTTGTCATAGCTCTAGAGGCTGGGAAGTCCAAGGTCAAGAAGCCACGGATTCACTGTCTGGTGAGGGCCTACTTCCTGGTTCAGTGAGGGTACTTCTAGCTGTTTCCTCACATGGTTAAAGGGGCAGGACAGCTTTCTCTGGCCTCTTTTGTAAAGAGACGAATTCAGACCCTGAGGGCTCTCCCCTTTTACCTAATCACTTCCCTATGGTCCCACCTCCTAATAGCACCACATTTCTGATTAGTTTTCAACCTGTGAGTTTTGGGGTAACACAAACATTCAGACCATAGCAGTGAGAGAGAAACTGTGTAGATCTCTGGAGAAAGAGCATCTAAGTAGAGGAACAGCAGGTTCAAAGGCCCCAAGACAGGAGCAGACCTGGAGTGTCTGTGGAACAGCAAAGAGGTCAGATATGATGGAATGAAGTGAGGAAGAAAAGGAGAGAACAGCAAGGAAATGGGGTTAGCGAAATCATGGAAAGACCAGATTATACAGGCTTTACAGACTTTGGATTTTATTCTTTATAAGATGAGAAGACATTGGAGGGGTTTTGGCAGAAGAAGACTTGATCTAATATATCAATTCTTATAAGATCAACTCTAGTTCAGTTTGGGATTGAACTATGCTGGGGTACGTGGGGTGGGGGAAGCAAAAAGGGAGTACTGGGAGTTACAGCAGTATCCGTGGGGCTTGAGCAGGGAGGTGGAGTGGAGGTGTAAGAAGTGGTTAGATTCTGAGTGTTTTGAAGGTAGAATCAACAGCATCTGCTGTTGCTTGAATGTGAGGGGTAAGAACATCAGGGAAAGAATGATTAACATATTTTTCACTGAGCATCTGGAAGGATGGAGTTACTGAGAAGAGGGAACTGTGGGTGGAGAGCTGGGATAAATGTCAGGAGGGAATCTTAAGTTTGAGGTGTCCATTAGCCATCCAACAGGTTAGTATATCCTTCCTCTGTAGGCCCTTGTAAAATATTATAGGAAGCCAGATCAAAGCTGTGTTCTTAGGAATGAGGGACTAAAAGCAGGAGGTAAGAGTTGAAGATACAGAACTCATCTGTGATAGCCTGAGGCACGTACCTTTGTCTCCCAGGGCCCAGAACGCCCTCAATCTTGGACAGTAGGAGAAACAAGACCAGGTTCTGTCATTGGTCTCCTCTTTTCTAGACTCCTCTTAACCATCCCTTTGTGCACATTGTTCTTCAGAATCAGTGGAGGAGGCTATAACTTTATATTTTCACGAGGTTATCCATTAGGTTATACTTGGTCACCTCTTGAGCATGTACTTCTTTGCAACTCAAACCATTTTAAGTGTTACTTGAGTTACTTATTTTGATGGCTGATACTGTAAGAGTGCTTCCCACCCTTTGCTTTACTCTGGAGGGTAACTTTTTTTTTTTTTGAGACAGAGTCTTGCTTTGTTTCCAGGCTAGAGTGAGTGCCGTGGCGTCAGCCTAGCTCACCAGACAACCTCAGACTCCTGGCCTCAAGCGATCCTCCTGCCTCAGCCTCCCGAGTAGCTGGGACTACAGCATGCGCCACCATGCCCGGTAATCTTTTCTATATATATTAGTGGCCAATTAATTTCTTTCTATTATAGTAGAGACGGGTCTCGCTCTTGCTCAGGCTGGTTTCGAACTCCTGGCCTCGAGCAATCCGCCCACCTCGGCCTCCCAGAGTGCTAGGATTACAGGCATGAGCTACCGCGCCTGGCCTGGAGGGTAACCTTATCTTTATTTAAGTCTCCTAGCCATAATGTTAGTTGAATGAAATTTGGTGGAATACTTTGTGTCTCTCCTGTGTATCCAGCTGTGGCATGGTATTTGGAAACTATGCCATGTCTTATGGCTGAAATAATGGGATATTTCATTTTAGAAGTAAGTAAAGATAAATTGTGGCCCCTAACATATGTAAGTATTATCGTGTAAAATAGGGTTGGCTTATTTTTATGTTTTCCTCAAGGAGCAGAGGATTGCTTACAGGTGAAATTTACCAGAAGGCAGAAGAAAGAATGTCTTAACAATTGATACCATTCCACAGTGGAATGAGTTATTTCTTGATGTAGGAGGATTGTGGGAAACATTCAAAGTGACAGTAGGTAACTGTCATTATGTTGAAGTAAAATAATTTCTATATAGGCATACCTCGTTTTAATGCATTTTGCCTTAAAGCACTTAAAATACACTTTTTAAAAAAACAAATTGAAGGTTTGTAGCAACCTTTGATGGAGCCAGGTCTGTTCGTACCGTTTTCCCAACAGCACGTGCTCACTTTGTGTCTCTGTGTCACCATTTTTTTAGCAATAAAGTGCTCTTAAGTATGTACATTGTGTTTTTGGACATAATGTTGTTGCACCCGTAATAGATTACAGTATATGCACTGAGAAGCCAAAAAATTTGTGACTCGCTTTATTGCGATACTCTCTTTATTGCAGTGGTCTGGAACTGAACCCGTGTTATCTCCAGGGTATGTTTGTATTAAATTAGGTGAGGTATTTCTGCAATACCCTCCAAAAGTTAACACTGCTCTGATAACATCATCTTTTTTCTAGTTGCAGAAGCATTGGTGCTGCTAGGCAGTGTCGGTGTAGCTGGAGGCCTGTGGTCAGCGGCACCCTCTGACCTTTTCCTTAGCTGGCAAGGGTGTAGTGCCTTTGTGAAGTGATCGACTAGAGTTGGGGGAGCAAAACCTGTGGTATTGTAATGGCTTTAAGATTATTTGGTCACCAGATGACCTGGTCTTCCTTAGCCTTAGGTTCTAGCTGAGTAAATTCGTTAGTTAATGGTTATTGAGGTTTGTGTGCAATGGAGTGTTTGCTGAAGATTAGAAAAACACAGTTCTTACTCTATAGCTTTTAACCTAAAAAAGTATGTGTTAGAATATACAAGAAAACAGGGTCAATTTATCTTTCATACATATGGAAATCTCTAGAAGCCCAGGATAAGCTTTTGTATGTTTTGTATGCCATAGGCTTAAAAATAATTACATTAAAAAATAATAATTACATTTTATGAACTGCCATATATGTGTATATGTATATATGTGCACATTTGTATATATTCCACAATCTTCACCACAGGAGAAATAAAAACAATTAGGTAGACAAATTAGCATTCTTAATGATCATCAGAATAAAGACATTCTTTTATGTCAGTATCCAAATAGTATTTCCAAGGCTAGTCTAACATATCATGGACCTGTTTGATTATGTGTTTTATTTCTATCATATTTGAAAATTAATTTTGGTACCATTTATATTTTATAGGATCTAAGCCTTTCCCACGTTATGGTTATAAACCCTCCCCGCCGAATGGATGTGGCTCTCCACTGTTTGGTGTTCATGTAAATATTATTTTTTATTTGATGTTTTATTTGATAGGCCATGTAGTACTTTTGATAATATAAGAGTATCAGTGTGTTCTCAGGCTCACAAATAATTAGCCTGGTGTAATAGTGATTAGGTTTATTTACATTCTTTTATGCTAAAAATTTATTAATAGTAACTCCTAACAAAACTAAATGGAGTAAAATTAATGTTTTATTTTTGAGTCTCGTAGTTGTTAATACCACTTAAATGATATTTCCTATCTTGCAAACACGGTTTAAAAGTTTGGAGCACTGAATACTACCGAGGGGGAAATGCATGCATAAAGCATGTTTTCTCCGGCGAAGCAAGGCTAAGTGGGATAGCAGTGGTTGTGGGGGAGACTGGATCCCAGCCACGCATCATGGGAAAAGTGTTTGTCAGAGTGAGTCCCAGACACAAAGGTTTCGTGTATAAAGTTATTTAAACGAATTAAAGATAAGTTATAGATTCAGAGTAATGGTATCTTTGGGGAATGGATAAATACTTGAAGATTAAAAAAAAATTTGAGTTTCAGGAGCTTAAAAATTTTCTGTGACATTTCACATAAAGTATTTGGGGCAAGAGGGGCACAAAATACTATGAATATCTTAAAATCATACTTATTGACTGAGCCCCTAGAGAAATCTTTTAATGCCCTTAGCCTTATCTTTCTGTTTTTTGTTTTCTTTTTTTTTCTTTCTTTCTTTTTTTGGAGACAGGATCTCACTCTGTTGCCCAGGCTAGAGTGCAGTGGTATCATCATAGTTCATTGTAACCTCAAACTCCCAAGCTTAAGCAATCCTCTTGCCTCAGCCTCCTGAGTAGCTGGGACTACAGGTGTGCACCATAGAAAAAAATTTTTTTCTATTTTTTGTAGAGACGGGGTCTCACTAAATTGCTCATGACGGTCCCAGGTCGCAAACTCCTGGCCTCAAGCAATCTTCCCACATTGGCCTCCCAAAGTGCTAGGATTATAGGCGTTAGCTACCATGCCTGGCCTCTTCCTGTTTTTTTTTGGGTTTTTTTTTCCGCCTTTTTTTTTTTTTTTTTTTTTGAGACAGAGTCATGCTTTGTTGCCCAGGCTAGAGTGAGTGCCATGGCGTCAGCCTAGCTCACAGCAACCTCAAACTCCTGGGCTCAAGCGATCCTGCTGCCTCAGCCTCCCAAGTAGCTGGGACTACAGGCATGTGCCACCATGCCCGGCTAATTTTTTCTATATCTATCAGTTGGCCAATTAATTTCTTTCTATTTATAGTAGAGACGGGGTCTCGCTCTTGCTCAGGTTGGTTTCTAACTCCTGACCTCGAGTAATTTGCCCACCTCGGCCTCCCAGAGTGCTGGGGGATCACAGGCATGAGCCACCGCGACCGGCCTCTCTTCCTGTTTTTAAAACTACATTTTTTTGTGTTTTGGACAATTGGAGGTTGTAGTTGTTACTGGGAGATAACTCCATATTCTCCCATTGCAGAAGAGGGAGAAGTGAGGCATGGTTGAGACAAAGTAACATGGGTGGGTGTGGACAAGCGTAATGAGGAGATTTATAACATGGAAAACATTTGTGGGCAGAAATGGATTTGGGAATTATCTATACAGCAGTCATTGTCATTTTTATTAAGTCTGTTTGAATGCAGTATTTCAACAGAGGAATTTTGCGTTTCATTGACAATAATCCATCCACATGCTTCTTGCAGCTGAACATCGGTATCCCTTCCCTGACAAAGTGCTGCAACCAACACGACAGGTGCTATGAGACCTGTGGCAAAAGCAAGAATGACTGTGATGAGGAGTTCCAGTATTGCCTGTCCAAGATCTGCCGGGACGTGCAGAAAACTCTGGGACTAGCTCAGCACGTTCAGGGTAAGGATGATCTGGTGGGCTGGGATGAGTATACGCCTCTAAAAGTCTTACTGAATGCTTTATATTGTAGCGTAGGGTTCACCTGTAGAAATCTTCCATATATATTATCTGTCGTGACACAGACTCTTCAGTTTTCTGAGGTGAGTAGTTGGTTTTGTAATCTAAAATGGTTTATAGTCACAGAAGCAAAAAGTGTTAGGAAACCTTGGGAGGAGAATGAGGCAGAGAAGAATTCATCCACTTTGTGCCCTGAAGTACATCTCTAATCATCCAGAGCCTAAAGTCTGAAACTCTGAATCCAGCTGTCTTAGTGCATTTGGCCTGTTAGAACAAGCTACCGCGGACAGGGTGGCTTACAAACAACTGAAATTCATCCTTACCGTTCTGGAGGCCGAGAAGAACAAAATCAAGGTACCAGTAGATTAGTTGTCTGATGAGCACCCACCTCCTGGTTCATAAATAGCACCTTCTAGCTGTGTCTCCACATGGCCAAAGGGACTAGGCAACTCTCTGGGTCCTCTTTTATAAGGGCACTAATCCTATTCAGGCAGGTGCCACCCTCATCACCTTAATCACCTCCCAAAGTCCACACTTCCTAATTTCATCACCTTGGAAGTTAGAATTTCAACATATGAATTTTGGAAGAATGCAAACATTCAAACCGTAACACCGGTGAATTTAAGAGTATACCACAGCCAGGTGTAGTGGCTCACACCTGTAATCCTAGCACTTTGGGAGGCTGAGGCAAGGATTGCTTGAAGCCAGGAGTTTGAGACTAACCTGAGCACAAGCAAGACTCCATCTCTATAAAAAATAGCAAAATTAGCTGGGCGTGGCATGTGCCTATAGTCCCAGCTACTCGGGAGGCTGAGGCAGGAGGATCACTTGAGCCGGGAGTTTGAGGTTGCAGTGAGCTAGGATGGTGCCCACTGCACTATAGCCACAGGCAACAGAGCAAAACCTTGTCTCCAAAAAAAGAAAAATATGTATAGCACGCTGGATTTGCAGTAGGAAGTTCTAGAAAATTTGTTTTAACTCTGCCTCTTCCTATGTATCTGTTGAGAAAGTCCCCCAAACCATGCCCAGGCTCAGCAATTCACTAGGAGAACTCAAAGGACTCATCATATAGTTGTGCTCATTGCTATAATTTATTATGTGAAGGGGTACAAAGCAAAATCAGCAAAGAAAAAAGGCCTGTTGGTGTCCTCATTTTTTAATTGGAGAGGATAATACTCCCCTTACAGACTTGTCATAAGGGTGAAATGAAATATTTGTGGAATTACAAATCATTATTTAAATACTAGTAGTTATAAGATTTCTCTACTGTCAGGGCAAAGAACGTGCCATACACCAAAATCAGAAAAGGGAGGGAGTGGGAAAGAGAAAGGAAGGAAACTGATGATTTTTTTATGCACTTAAGATACTGTGCTAGCCGGGCGTGGTGGCTCACGCCTGTAATCCTAGCACTTTGGGAGGCCGAGGCGGGAGGATTGCTCAAGGTCAGGAGTTCGAAACCAGCCTGAGCGAGACCCCGTCTCTACCAAAAATAGAAATAAATTAATTGACCAACTAAAAATATATATACAAAAAAAAAATTAGCCGGGCATGGTGGCGCATGCCTGTAGTCCCAGCTACTCGGGAGGCTGAGGCAGTAGGATCGCTGAGCCCCAGAGATTGAGGTTGCTGTGAGCCAGGCTGACGCCACGGCACTCACTCTAGCCTGGGCAACAAAGTGAGACTCTGTCTCAAAAAAAAAAAAAAAAGATACTGTGCTAGATACTTTATCATGTTTTCATCTAATGCTCACAAAAACCCCAGAGAGGTAGGTAGTGTTACCCTCATTGTTTAAGGAAGGAAACCGAGGTTCAGAAAGAAGTAACTTGCCTTAAGTTAGCCTTGAGATTATCTATGCCTAAAACCTGTGTCTACTACAGTATTCTCCAAATAGTCTCAGGTTATAGATGTGATTCTAATTCCCTAACTGTAACTGTCGGGGAAGAAATCTCTGCTGCAGGTGAAGCTTGACTTCATAGCTCTGCACCCTTTGCGGCTGTTGGCTAAGGTAGACTATTAAGAGCTGTACACCTGGCACGTGGCTGGATGTCTGTCCTGTTTTCTGACCTAAGGAGCACACGAAACCAGTTTCCTTGCAGTCTCCCATTCAACAGTGACAGCCGCTGCACCTCTGTGGCTGGTTTTCCTTCCTGGCACAGTCTTTTGGAGAACTTTGAAAATGTTAAGATTTTGTAATGAAAACTTTCTTAATATGAGTATTTGAAACTGAAAATAACTGGACAACTAAAAGCCACTCTGTGCTATATCTCTGTAAGTATATAACATGTTAAGATAATCTCACCTAGGTATTTCAGGTTTCTTAGAATATGAAAAGTAAATCAATTACCTTTCTTATGGTCTTAAAATTTTTTTAAATCCTACCAGGGTAAAAACGCTTTTGATTCCTGTGCTGCCCCATTTCCAAGCCAAATTTGGATATTGGTCAAAGAAAGAGACTGGGTTCCATTTATGTTAAGCATCTTAAATGATGTGTGATCAGTTCTTAGAAGCTGTTGGCAATAATGAAATGTTCCGAGGCATCTTTTTCTTTCATTTTTTTTTTTGAGACAGAGTCTTACTCTGTCAACCGAGCTAGAATGCCATGGCATCAGCCTAGCTCACAGCAACCTCAAACGCCTGGGCTCAAGCAATCCTCCTGCATCAGCCTCCCGAGTAGCTGGAACTATAGGTATGCACCACCACGCCTGGCTAATTTTTTTCTACATATTTTTGTTGTCCAGCTACTTTCTATTTTTAGTAGAGACGGGGTCTCACTCTTGCTAAGGCTGGTCTCAAACTCCTGAGCTCAAACCATCTGCCTGCCTTGGCCTCCCAGAGTGCTAGGATTACAGGCATGAGCTACCTCGCCTGGCCCTGAGGTTTCTATTTTTAAACTTTATTTTTTTTTGCCCTAAAACAACTTTCCTCAAAATGCAAATGTAAGGGTGTGATCGAGCATCTGTCACTGATTATATTTTTCAGGTAAAAGGAAAGTTAACACTGATTAGTTAATCAGTACTATTGATAAAGACTATTTGTCTAGAATAAACAATTGAGTTGAACAGTTGAGTACAAACAAAATGTGAGAGGCCAGTCACGGTGGCTCACGCTTGTAATCCTAGCACTCTGGGAGGCCGAGGCAGGCGGATTGCTCAAGGTCAGGAGTTCAAAACCAGCCTGAACAAGAGTGAGACCCCGTCTCTACTATAAATAGAAAGAAATTAATCGGCCAACTAAAAATATATAGAAAAAATTAGCCAGGCATGGTGGCGTATGCCTGTAGTCCCAGCTACTCAGGAGGCTGAGGCAGAAGGATTGTTTGAGCTCAGGAGATTGAGGTTGCTGTGAGCTAGGCTGATGCCACAGTGCTCTAGCCGGGGCAACAGAGTGAGACTCTGTCTCAAAAAAAAAATATATATATATATATGTATATATATATGAGATAAATGGTAAAGAGATGAAAACTGGAAGTCTGCGTATGTATGTGCCACTGGTTCGTGAGAGTTTGGGGCGATGGTCACGTAAGGTAAGTTTGTGTGCTCGCTGGGCTCTGCTGCAGCATGTCACACAGGCGGAAAGGGAGTGGCGCTTTGCAGCTGCCCAACAGTGACGGCGTCTTCCTACTTTGCAGCATGTGAAACAGCGGTGGAGCTGCTGTTCGACAGCGTCATACATTTAGGCTGCAAACCGTACCTGGACGGCCAGCGAGCCGCGTGCAGGTGTCGGCACGAAGAAAAGACTGATCTTTAGGGTACTGACAGCTGACGGAGAAGGATGGAAGAACATAACCTTTGACAAAGAACTAATGTTTTTACAGGATAAAGCTATCTTATTTTGTGAGAAGACTAAGTCCTTACAAGAGTTTATATTTTGATGTTAAAACCCTAAAGGGAAACGACAGGGGAAGCAGCGAGGAGGGCACGTCCGCCTGCTCTTCCTGGCGGTGGTGCTTGCTGGGCCACGCTGTCCAGACAAGGGTGTGATAAGGGAAGAACTTTTAAAAAGAAGAATATATTACTTAATTTTCACAACTATATTTACAAAAAAGAAATCAAATATAAAATTCATTATAAGGTCTGTTCAACATTATTTGGAAATATGGGAGATTCTTTATATTAATAGAAGTATTATTTGTTTACTAGGAAATTTTTAAATGTACATTTATACCTGAAAAGAACTGAATTTATTTTTTCTCTATCTTAATTACACATAATTTGTTTCTCTTTAGCCCATGGAGCATATAGATGAGTCACACATCTATGAGAACTAGTTACAAGGACAAGGTTTCCGTGTCTGTTTCTCTTGTAAAGTTGGAACAGTCATCTGGTTTCCTTGCAGGGAGCAAACCCAGGATATCTAAGTGTTACGTAGTATGCATGGAAGACGCTGTGAACAAGATTCGGAGCATAGCCACTTCCGTTTTATGAACCACTCGTGTGACAAATGTCATCTTTTGCTGCTATATAACCTTTGCCTTACTTGGAGAAAAGATGGATTTAATGAAACAAATGGAAAGTTTAACACAACACATCAGGGCACTATTTGCTCTTATGCTTTTATGTTTATTCCCTAGCGCTTGTTCCCCATGGTAGATTCTGGGATATTTTTTAAATACTGTAACTTTTACTAATTGTGGTGTTAATAAAGATTATTCTTGATACTGTTTTTTTCAAGTCTTCAAATGTGGAGTCCAAGGGATGGAAAAGGTAAGGATGCAAGTAATTCTTTTATAGAGCTCTTATTTACATGGAAAATTATTAACAGATGTTTAAGAGAAAATCCCAGAAAACTTCCTTCTCTGTGAAAATGTGTATGGATGTTGAAAACTCTGCAACCTCTTGGAATGCTCGGCTGTGTTCCCATATTGATCTCTGCTCACCGCTGGTGCTGACGTTCCTGGCCAGGACCCCAAGTCGCACATGGCCTGGTGACCTGTGGCCACAGCTGGAAAGGACAGCACGCGGAGAGGGGTCTCTGTAAGTCATCACAGGCAGCACTGGGCAGAGGGCAAACACACTGTGTGAAAGGGCACGCTCCAGCTTTGGAGATGTGTCACTGCCAGGAACCTCACTACTCCCGGCTCGGTCGGTGGCAGCCGTCCCGACCGGAGCTGCTCTGTTAGACGAGGCAGTTGGGTGGCTGTGTCTAAGTGAGCAAACTGGGCTCCAGTTTAAATTTTTGGAACCCTTAATTGATACTTTCTTTCAAACTTTTATAGAAGGTACACTTTTGAAAATCATTATCAATACTTTATCAGTATTATTGAAATGCCTGACCAGGTGACTTGAAATTTATGATGAATTTGTTACATTGAACAGCCTTTTGCACCCGATCAGCACACTGGGTGGCATTTTATGGAAAAGGACAACATGCTCTGCCTCTGGAAAGGCCATAATCTGTAGACCCTTGTTCTGTAAGTTTTTGCTTAATTCCTTCCCCAAATTCGCTGTCCCTGTGAAAGCTAGACTTGGAAATCTAGGAGTTACCTCCAGTTTACTTTGGCCCAAATCCCCGTCCAAACAAAGTGTGTTAATACAAGCCCTATAAAATAGCTCGCGCCCAGGAAAGGGCTGCACGGGAAACAGAACGCACACACGCCAGCCCTGCAGCCCCCCGCAGGGGGATTCGGGTTTGGTTGCAGACCACTGCGATAGAGCAAGTCACACTGTTTTTTTTTTGGTTTCCCAGTGCATGTAAAAGTTATGTTTATACTGTTCTGTAGTCTATCAGGTGTGCATTAGCATATGTCTTAAAAAATACATACCTTAATTTAAAAATACTTTATTGCTAAAAAATGATAAGGATCATTTGAGCCTTCAGCAAAGCATAATCCTTTTGCTGGTGGAGGGTCTTGCCTCGCGCTGATGGCTGCTGACTGGTCTGGGTGGTGGTTGCAAAGGCTGGGGTGGCTGTGGCAGTGTCTTAAAGAAGTAGCGAAGTTTGCTGTTTTGACTCTTCCTTTCATGAAAGATCTGAGCATGTGATGCTGTGTGATAGAATTTTGCCTATAGAACTTCTTTGAAAATTGGAGTCAGTGTCCTCACACCCTGCTGCTCTTATATCAACCACATTTATGTAGTATTTTAATTCCTTTGTTGTCATTTCAACAGTATTCACAGCATCTTCACCAGGAGTAGATTCCACCTTAAGAAACCATCTTTGCTCATCCGTGAGAAGCAACTCCTCTTCCGTGAAAGTCTTATCATGAGATCGCAGCAATTCAGTCACATCTTCAGTCCCCTCTTCTACTTCTAGGACTCGCTATTTCCGCCACATCTGCATTACTTCCTCACTGAACTCTTGAACCCCTCAAAGTTATCCTTGAGGGTTGGAATCAGTTTCTTCCAAACTCCTATTAATGTGGATATTTTGACCTCTTCCCATGAGTCTCAAATGTTCTTACTGGCATCTGGAATGGTGAATCCTTTCCAGAAAGTTTTCAATATACTTTGCCCAGATCTATCAGAGGAAACGCTATCTCTGGCAGCTATAGTCTTATGAAATGTATTTCTTAATAAGACTTGAAAGTCAAAAGTTCTTGATCTGGGGCCAGGCGAGGTGTCTCACACCTGTAATCTTAGCACTCTGGGAGGCTGAGGTGGGCAAATCATTTGAGCTCAGGAGTTCGAGACCAGCTTGAGCAAGAGCGAGACCCCGTTGCTACTAAAAACATAGAAATTAGCTGGACAACTAAAAAATACATATAAAAAAATTAGCCGGGCGTGGTGGCTCATGCCTGTAGTCGCAGCTACTCGGGAGGCTGAGGCAGGAGGATCGCTTCAGCCCAGGAGTTTGAGGTTGCTGTGAGCTAGGCTGACGCCACGGCACTCTTCTAACCTGGCAACAGAGTGAGACTGTCTCGGAAAACAAAGCCATTGATCTATGGGCTGCAGAATGGATGTTGTGTTAGCAGGCATGAAAACAGCATTAATCTACTGGTGCATCTCCAGAGAGCTCTTGCGTGACCAGGTGCATTGTCAGTGAGCAGTAATATTTTAAAAAGAGTCTTTTTTTCTGAGCCCTAGATCTCAACAGCGGACTTAAAATATTCAGTAAACCATGCTGTAACAGGTGTGCTGTCATCCAGGCTTTGTTGTTTAGCACAGGCAGAGTAGATTTTGTGTTAATTCTTAAGGGCCATACGATTTTCAGAATGGTACACGAGCATTGGCTTCAGTTTAAAGTCACTAGCTCCTAAAGAGAGTATGAACTAAAAATCCTAAGCCCTCTGCTAACTGAATGGACCCCTCTTGGCCAAGGCGACCCCAGAAACACCTTAAAGCTAACTCTAGCCATGAGGAGATGGGGGAGAGAGAGCACGATTACACATGGGCATTGTTTCCCTTCATAAATATTCATGACTCTTCCTGTGGCTTGTTGAATATGTGTATTTACGCTGCACAGTATAAAATCCTGTCCCTTTTGTCTCTTCTTTGAAGCACAAGCGCCTGACTTCTGGCCTGGGCTCTGCTTCCCAGTTGATGGAAGGGCTGCCCAACAAGCTGCTACCCTTAAGAAGAAGAACAGCTCTCCTTTTTCCAAAGCATAAACCTTGCTTGTTATTTTATTTATTTTTGCTAACAGGAGTCAGCGTGTCCTTTGAAGCTGTGAAGCCAGGCCCCGACTTCTCTAGCCATGAAGGGCCCAGACGGCCTCTCCCTCCAACACGTGGCAGCCAGTCTGTGTTGCAACCTGTGGTTTGGAGCCACTCGTCAGTGCTCTTCGCCTTGCACTTTCATGTTGTGGAGACATTGTCTCTCCTTAAACCTCAGGAGTCAGCCTCTGCTGGCTTCCAACTTTTCATCTTCAGCTTCCTCACCTCCCTCAGCCTTCACAGCACTGAACAGTTAGAGCCTTGCTAACTCCAGGTTTTGGCTTAAGGGGACATTGTGGGCGGTTTGATTTCTCCAGACCACTTGAACTTCCTCCATATCAGCAGTAAGGCTGTTTTGCTTTCTCAGCATTTGTGTGTTTACTGATGTAGCAGTAAATTTCCTTCAAGAACTTTTCATTTGCATTGACATCTTGGCTAACTGTTTAGGGCCACCAGGCCTAGCTTTCAGCCTCTCTTGGCTTTGAACATCCCTTCCTTACTAAGCTTAATCATTTCTAGCTTTTATTTGAAGTAAGAGATGTGTGAATTTTTCTTTCACTTTAACTTTTAGGGGCTATCGTGGAGTTATTAATAGGCCTAATTTCAACTTTGTTTTCAGGGTTTGGGAGGCTGGAGAAGTGGGAGAGAGACAGGGAAATGAAGTTCAGTGGAGCAGTTAGAACACACAACACTGATCAGTTACGGTCACCGTCCCATGCGGGCAACACTGATCAGTTACGGTCACCGTCCCATGCAGGCACAGGTCATGCTGCCCCAGAACAGCTACAATGGAGACATCGGAGCTCCCTGATCAGAGGTCACCATAACAGATGTAATAATGAAAACGTTTGAACCATCACCAGAGTTACTAAAATGTGACACTGGGTCGGTCACAAAGTGACATGCTCTTGGAAAAATGGCACTGATAGACTTGCTAAAGGCAGGGTTGCCACAAACCTTCAATTTGCAAAAATGATAACGTGTAGAGTGCAGTAAAACGGGTTCTTTGCCCCTGACGCAGGGGTTACAGCAGGGACGCGGCATTTGATATGGCAGGCTCCATGTGAGGAGATGGGGAAATTCCCAAACCTGTCTCCCCAAGAATGTGGAGGAAGGGTTTTTAAAGACAGCTTGGTGAGCACAGGACTAGGCAGTTGGGTCTGCTAACAGGCTGGGTTCGGAGCCGCAGGGGCGGAGATTATCTTGAGGGACTGAGTCCGTTCCTGGGTGGGGTCCAGACCAGCTGAGTCAGTTCCTTGGTCAGGGCCACCGGTCTGGGCAGGTTGTAGGGGACTGACATATATTTTCCTAGTTTAAGAATTAAAGTTAGTAATGTTCTGCCCCAAGTGTTTGAAAGTAATCTGTTCCATACAAGGTCCTTGTGATAAACAAGGATATTACCTAGACCATAACAAAGGACCTGAGTTGTAAGTAAGCAAGAGCTACCCCGCCCGGCAGCCTTGGGGGTCTGGAGGCCATACGTGATTGCTGCTTGACCCCATAAGATGGCTGGTTAGTCAATGCCGGGTAAGACCCCTCCAGGGAGGGGTGACCTAAGCCAGGCACAGCTGCCGGGGTTCAGCCGAAGATCTTAGGGGGTCACCCTAAGAGAAGGTGGGGATGAGAAATGCCCTCTGCGGCTCACCTTGCCCATCCTTGCTAATCTTGGTCCTTTATGCCTAGTGCCTAGAGCAGCCACCTTGAAACTCTGAGTCAGGGGATGTCTGCTTCCCTAAGGCTACGCTTTCCGGAACTTAGGGCTGTCGCTGCCACGCCTCGGTGGTTGCGAACAAGGAACTAACTTTAATCTTTTAGACTATAAAAGTAAAACTGACCCGGTGTATTGTTACTCGAGTCAACCGTTGGTACGTGTCCGCCTTTTTCTTTGTGTTCTGCGCGTTTGTGTTTTGTGTTCCGTGTTCCTCCTCCGTCCTGTGACCGGGCCAGGCGCGGGTCGGCAGCTCCCCCAGGCTGCAGGGCGGGAAGACGGCTCAACACGCAGCCCCGGGTTTCAGAAGCCTGCCGCGCCCTGGAGCAATGAGGGAAGCCAGGAACTCGGGGCGGGCCGGTCTTGCTCCCTGCCACCGGCCCACCTGCGGCCCCAACTCGTCCCCAGCGCGCCCCGGCAGCTCCGGGCGGGCAGGAAAAGCGGCGGCCGCGGCCGCAGGCGCCGAGTGCGGAGAGCGCGCGGCAGGCGGCCTCGCGCCAGGCGACCCGCGCGTCCCCGGGGACAGCCGGCGCTTCCCGAGGGTCGCGGGCGCCTGGGCGTCGGGGGCGGAGCGGCGCCCTGTCCCCGCCCGCGCTCGGGCCGCAGGCCGGGCGGGGCGTGCGGGGCGCAGGAGCGGCGATGAGCGCGGCGCGGGCGCGGTGCGGGGCCCGCCGAGCAGGTAGTGGCGCCGCCGCGGGGCCTCGAGCAGGTGCGGGTCCGGGGCGGCTTCGCTCTGGGTGCGGGGAGCCGGGCCGCGGGCGCTGTGGCCGGGCGGGCGCCGCCGCTGTGTCCCCGGCCGCGCACACTGGCCCCGGCGGCCGGGCCGGATGCGCAGCTGGGCCTGGGAGTGGCTGTTCGCGAACTTCCAAGGGAAAAGGGAAGCGAGTGGCCGGCCCGGGCGACGGTGAGGGCGGCCCGCGCCCGCCGCCGGGCTTCGCGCGGCCTGGCCGGGCTCCGGCTGCGCTCACGTGGCTGGGCGTGGCCGGGCCGCCGTCGCGCACCCTCCCCCGCTTTCCTTGGCTCCGGCCGTCTTGAAGCTCACTCGTGTCCCGCCGCCCTGGCGCGCGGCCGGCGGCCCCCGCGGGCGGCGGGGCGGACGCCGTGGAGGGCGCGGGGAGGGTTCCAGGCGC